CATATTCATACGTGTCTAAATAAGTTAATGAAAGTGTTAAGGGACAGAAAATAAACCCAGCATTTCAGTGATGGCAGCTGCTGCAGCTCCTGCTCGGGAGCAGTTTCCTATGCACACAGAAAACAACAATCCAATAGTTTATTAGTTTAATGACTGGGCTTCTTAAGATCAAAATAAGGATGATGTGCACACTTTGAAGTGAGGTTGTATATGCCTGGCTCTGTCCCTGCTGGAATTCTGAGAACTCCAGTTCCTAAAACAAAGGTTCCTGACAGATAATGGAATGAGCAGAACTTGCCTGCTTCTGTCAGCAGGTCCTGATGCCACCCAGGCCCTCGTGTGTGCCAGGGTGTGGTGACATGGGAACTCCAGCTGGAGCTCCCACTGGACTGGGACATTCACACCACACTCCCATCTTGGGTTTCCAGTGTCCAGTGACAGTCAAATTCACCCTCTACCTTCTCTTTTCACTGAGAACATTACTAGAACATCCTAATTTCCCAGGGGCTAGTGAAGTTTAATGTTGCTGAATTTGCTGCCTCTGTTAAATGGGTGTGAATGAGATATCCAAAAGCTGTTGCACAGGCACACAACTGCAGATGTAAAATACTACTGCATTTGCCTTACCTGGTTATATCACTCCCCAAATCATTAATTGAAAACTAACTAGTTTCATTTTACAGGAATTAGGAATTGTGAGGCTTTGGAATTTTTTGATCCTTTTTAAAATACTTACTGAAGAAACCACCCTTTGTCTGAGATCAAAGCTATGCATTACTCTCTCCTGCACCGAGAAGGTTAAGGGCTTGCTCTTGGTCATGCAAAAGGACTTCTTTATAAACAAAGAGAATAACATAAATTAAAATATTCATAAATATCAGTGCTATTGAATGATGACCTTTTCTCCCCCCCAATAACATCCAGTCTCAAGAAGCACAGTCTGCTTGGCTGGATGTTCTTTCCCAGGATAGCATTTCCTCTCCTGGAGGAAGGCTGCTCCTCTCACATCTCTAGTTAACTGTCTGGCCCTCATCCTCCCCACCCAGCCTGCTGATCTGTGTTTCCAAATATACTCTTAATTATATAGATGAAAATGTAGAAATATAAGAATAGCACCCAGTGGCACGTTCAGGTTTCTTGTCTCTTTTTATAACATGCCATGCTGTTCTGTGAAGCAGCAGAACAGATTAAAGATCACAGAAAATTGTTTCTGGCTTACCCTTTCTGGTTTTCAGGCACTTGTGGAATTCCCAGGATACAAATTTCTTTGTTATTGCATGTCCTTGGCATATGCTGGAAGAGCTTAGCATAATGTGCAGGGTTATTACATGAGTTAAAGTGAAAAAGTAGCCCCCAGAACGTGGTTTGACTCGCTAGTACACTCATCTGTAGGGCAGCAGATCCCACACTTCAGACTGTTCAGACACAACTGCCTGATAATCCTTGCATTGTAGTCCACAAAATGCTTGGTATCACAGTGGTCTCAAACTGCTTGGGCATTTCAGTCAGCAGCAGGTTATTTTTAAAGTATGCTCAGGCCTACATGGTATCTTTTTGTACCTGATACTCAAATGCTGGCTATCAGACAGATGAACTGGGGAAGCAGGAGAGAGAGCATTCCAGCTCTGTTCAGCAGTGTCCCTCCAGAGGAAAGGAGTCCTTAAAACTACATGTGCACTAAAAGTACAGTACAAATCAAGCTCAGCAGACATCAGATCTGGGTCACAGTCTCTGTAGATTTTGTTTCCCATATCTACATACAGTTTCCTCAATATTTATAATGATTGACAAATACAGAGTAATACAAAGGACCTTTATAGAGAACAAGCTGGCTCTAGATGCTTCGGAATCCCTTTCAGCAAGAGAAGAGAGAGGTGCCTTTTTAAAATTCTGTTTCTACAGCCCAGGCAATTCCATGTTTGCCTTGGCAGGCAGCTCTGCCAGACAATGTGAGCAGCACGAGCAGCCAGGTCTGTGCTCTGGAGTGAAGTCAGGACTCGGTGCACCTGCACTGCTCACGTACTTTCACTCACTGGGCACTGCAAGCCTCTTAGTGCAGCTTTACACACTTTGGCTTTTGGACTGCCAAAAGTGGAGTTCAGGAAAAAGCCAAAAATGTTCTTGTTTGTGTAGTTTTCACTTGAGATCAGCTGAATTCAACTCTCAAATGTGATGTCTTCCCATCAGCTTGTGTAGCTCTAAACACAAGTTATGTGGTGTCATGTGCTCTGGCAAAGGAGCTAGAAAGGTTACTGTTCAGTGGGATTTGGAACATGGGAATCCAAATTTATTTCCAATTGTGAAAGAATAATTTACAATATTCCTTCCTTACAATATTCCAGTGCCTGAAAGGCATCTCTCACCTGCCTCTCCAAAGAGTAGAGAAGCCTGAGTTGCTTTTTGGTTCATTTTTTTTCAAGCATCTTTACCTTTTGGAGACTCACCACTCTTTGAGACCTGCTAGCAAGGCTCATAATGCACAAAGATAATGCTGCTGCCCAGGCACAGCATCAACGCTCTCAACATACATATTCACATGCTTAATGTGTTTCCTGCCAAATATATTTGATGACATTTCTGCATTCATCTGTAAGATCACACTCTGCACTCGGGGTATAAAGGTGAAATTCTGACTTTGGCCTTGCCTAAATGGAGCTGAAAGAATCCTTGCTGTGTTGTGTGCTGCCATTTTAATGGTGAGAGCTCTGCTGAGCTCGTGTCCATAGGCTACTGCTTATGCAAGAACATTGTACTGTGGCTGCCTGCTCCTTAATGAGATTAGGCAATCAAGTCATATAATCTCTCATTCTGTTGATTGCTTTACTGCTGGTAAAAGGACATTTATATAACTTACCTGCACAGAAAACCACATCCCTCCTGTTTGAGAGATGAGAATGATGACAGGCTGTGAATTTCCATGTGTGGTTTTGGAGCAGCAACTTGGTCTTGTCTTAATTAATACCCCGCAGCAACTTTGTTCCAGACTGTGTAATAATTTCTTATGAACAGTAATGACTCTCATACCTTGACACACGGCATCCAGCATTTCCTCACAATACAGTTTTTCTTTGGAGGGGAATTGCTAAACATCAACAAAGCTGGGAAACACTCTGGAGAACTATCACCACTACCAGAGTTAGTAGAAAACCACTTGACCAAGAAACTTAAAGACAACTACCAAGAAGATATCAAATCAAGACTAGAGAGGACTGAGGGGAAAGAACTGTCCCTAGGAGGGTGGAGGACAGAGGACAGTAAAAATGGAGTGGCACCCAAATCCTCACCACCATCATTAATATCAAATCAAGGGGTGAGTAGGAACCTGAATGTTCTCATCCAGATCTGATGTGCAGTGGGGAGAGGGGGAGATAGTTGTGCAATACCTTCATCACCTGACTGTTAGTGCTGGGTAACAGAGGCCTTACACAATCCTGCTTCAGAACATCTGCATTATGCAGTGCAGTTGGAGGGCTAATGAAATCCACCAAAGGTGCTTAAGAACAGCTGGTCTAATGAGACTTGATCTTTCTCCTAAATGCTCAGTGAAACATCAGGAACACTTGCTTTCTCCAGATTCTTGAACAAAATCCTATTTAAAAAAAGGCTTACCTGTCTGTTCATTGAGACATTCTTCATGAACAGAGAGAAGAGGAACCTGTAAAACTATTTTTCTGAGCAGGAGCCTCCCAAGTAGATCCTGGAGATGAATGTTACAGCCAAATCTGTGAATTCAAAGCACAGTATTGGCGGCTTAGATTGAAGACTTGCTCTCTGTTTTAATTAAGGTGTACTGAATTTCTCCAGAAGGCTAATTTCTTTCACTATTTCCTATTTAGTGTAGTGTGGGGAGAACTTTTCTTTCTTATTTTGCCACAGAATTTATATCGCTCTCTAGGCCTCTTGAACTGGCTATTCAGAATTAGAAACATTAGGATTAGTGCGAGTAGGAAGTTAATAAAATTATAACTATGAAAAATTCTCTGTGTACTCACAAAATAATAACAGGGTCTTGATTAGTAACAAATAAGGAATATGAGATGTTCAGACTCAGTGACAGTAAGAACCAAAGCAATATGCAGAAGTAGCAGCACATTTCATGATTCAGTGTTTTTGTTCTTATCAAACGGAGAAGCTAAGAATGGAAACAATGCGAGGTGCCCAGGGCTACGCAGCACATCAGTGGTGGAGCTGGGAGTACATTCCAGACACCCATCTGCCCAACAACACCGTGCAGAGCTTCTCCCACAGTGCCCAAGTGCAGAGCTCCAGCACAGCCCTGCACAGCATCAGTCCTGGGAGGGCTCAGAACCGCAGCAGGTCACCAGGCCACTGCTCTCTGGGCTCACTGGGCACCACTCTGATCCTCAGTGTGGCAGGGAGAAGGGGGGTTAGGGGAGCTGCTGACAGAGAAGCTGGGCCCTCAGAGTGACACATTTACCTGGCTGGAATACAGTGCTCCCTGCCTCGAGCCTCCTTCAGAAGGGAGGCAGGGAGCACGAGAAACCACAGTGCTTTGCAGCAGATGCAGAAAACACAGGCGTGGCTGTGGAGAGTGCAAGGTGAGAGCCTCAAATCCAGTGCCTCAACATTGCCATTCTGCTTTCTTACCAAAATTGCTTTTAAATAGCTGAAGAGGGAGACTTCACCACACCTTCTGAACCTCAGCATTGAGTCAGACACGTAGGGACAGCTTGCAGGAATAAGTGAATATACTATAAAGCTCAGTACAGATGTTCTCAAGTAATGAAGTCCAGCAGAGCACAGGAGGTATTAAATGTGATTTCCACGAAGGGATCAGGAGCCCAGCGTCCCTGAGGACGCAGTTATCAGATCAGGTGCATGGCTGGCTGGCTGGGCAGTACTTGTTGGTGTGCTGGAATACCAGAGCAGCAGAGGGTACATCACCCTCCCCATGCGGTTAGCGGCCCCTCTGTGCTCCCCTGCGCGTACAAGGAGTGCCGTGCTGTCCCCTCTAACCGTGCCGTGTGTGCCTCCCGCAGGTGAGCGGCCCTTCGAGTGCAGCTGGCCGGGCTGCACCAAGAAGTTCGCGCGTTCGGACGAGCTGGCACGGCACCACCGCACCCACACGGGCGAGAAGCGGTTCCGCTGCCCGCTGTGCGACAAGCGCTTCATGCGCAGCGACCACCTCACCAAGCACGCGCGGCGACACGCCAACTTCCAGCCGGGAATGCTGCAGGGCCGGGCGGGCTCCAGGCCTGGCAGTGGCTCCAGGCCCGGCGGTGGCTCCAGGGCCGGCTCCCTCAGTGACTACAGCCGCTCCGACGCCTCCAGCCCCACGCTCAGCCCCGCCAGCTCCCCGTAGGCCGCCCCTCCGCCCGCAGCGCTTCGCCTCACAACGCCCGGCGGACCTCTGGAAAACTCTGTCGTTTCCCTCCCCTACGTAAAAAAAAAAAAAATCAGTAAATAGCTTCCTCCCACTGCGATTGCTAGTCAAATTTCCTTTGCCCGACCACACAAGTGGCTGCTCTTAACCTCACGGACGGACAGACTGAACGTGTTAACACTTCGTGACTCCTGCTGTCTCAATAGTTCATATATTTTGCGACCGTTTATGGATCCTCTTCGTTATTCTTTATAAGAAAATGAGAAAAATAAAAAAAAAAAAAAAAAGGAAAAAGCCCCACTTAATTCACCTCAGGTGTCAAAGTAGTTTATAAGACGGGATTGCACAACATGAGTGTACATACGCTTACGAACGAACTGTGTTGGATTTGTGTCCCCCCTTCTCCTTTCTCAGGGATGGATATTTATGTTACACAATAATTACAATGAAGGCACACCCTAACCACGGCCTTACTCTGTAAATATAATTGCACTCAGAAGCTTTTTGTTAGGTTATTTCACACACTGGGGAAACAAACAAACAAACAAACAAACAGTGCAGAAACCAAACCAATACTGGAATGTAGCACCAGACTCTTCCATTGTTTGTTTTCCTAATTAGATACCTATGTTGGGGAGTGTCCAAACAGAAGTCTTGTCTTTCTTCAAGCTGCCCTCTGCTTTAGATGGCGAGCCGTCTTTTCACTTCACGCTGAAGATGCTCCAAAACCAACTTCCTATTGCAAAAATCTCTGTGAGGTTGATAAACTTGTTTGTTGGTTTCATGCTAGAAAAAAAAAACAATTGAGAAAAACATTTAAACAAGATGCCTTAAAAGTAAGTAACCTAAATCACGAAGAAACGTATTTACACTGGGTAACATTTTCTGGCAAGGAGGCCTGGAGTCTCGGAGGCTTTGTGTCATCACACTCTCCAAGTTGTTAAGCTCTCTGCACTGCCTGCTCAGTATGGGACCAACAGAATCTTCAGATCAAACCAACCAGACTTGAACAATTTTTTTCTTTTTTTTTTTTCTTTTTTTTTTTTTTTTTTTTTTTTTTTTTTTTTTTTTTTTTTTTTATTATTTTTATTTTTTAAATGAATTGTGGAAATAGCATTACTGAACTAATGCCCACCAAAACTGTTATCAAGGTACTTACCTGCTGTACAGCTGTGTCTTAGAAAGACAAACTGGCTAAGACATAGTTTCTGTATTTTGTTGCATCAAAATTGTGGTTGCTGATAAAAGGAAGTGAAAAATCATAAGGTTTATCTTCTGACTGGAAAAGTAAAATATGCATTAAGATTTTAATTAAAGTGACTATAGCTCAGCACTACTACAGGTTTCTCAAAAATATACATACCAGCATAAAGCAAGGTGCTCTTATTTCTGAATAACTGCTTGATAACAGAAAGGGAATACTGGCTAGTTTTCAATACCTTTCAAATATTTGACACTAGACAGAGCAGAAGGAGATGGATTTTTATGTTTTATGTGGTAGAAAATATAGCAAAATCCCAGGAGCATTGTGATGTACTGAATGTGATGTACTCACTGGCAGCAAAGACACTTTCCTTGGTTTATCTGGCCTGAGAGTGCAGTTTATAAATTCAGGTCCTTTTGATTCTGGAATTTTTTTTTGGGGGGGGCCTGTTTTTACTGTAAGGTATAAACGCAGTTAAGTGTAGCACGGTGAAAAGAAGCTCTCGATGCCAAACCTGTCATTTGATGTGAAGTGAATGCTCCCAGATTCCAAATGCCCCTGTATCTTACTTGCTGCTTTGCATTGTTCCGATTTTGCAAGGTTTTGTTGTACTGTATGGTAACTGTGAGAGGCTAATGTAGGTTTCCAAGTAGTTTCATAGGTACTTCCATAATATTTACATTATTCCTAATACTACACATTCTATTAGTTACATAGATAAATACTTAAAGACAAAGTGCAGATATTTCAGTATTTTTTCATGTTCATTTGCTCCATATTTCACCTCTTTGAAACCCACAATTTCCCCTTTTGAATTGGAAGTCGTGTGAGGCACAGTTCCACTGCTTCGTTTCACAGAAAAAGAAAGAACATTGCTGGGGTTTTTTGCAAGATGACAAGCATTGTTTATATGAGGGGTTGCCCAACCTCTGTGAGTTGGAGGAAAGCCAGATCTGTTTGCCTCTACAGACTTCCTCTGTTCTTATTTTATGTGGGTTTTTTTATTTTTTTTTTTTTTAAATCTCATCTACTGAGATACACAATTTTAACAACTTGATACAATTCAGGTAACAGGAATTCACATTCCAATAATTTCTGTGACTGCTAAAAGAGTTCTCGTGCTGTAGTTAATAAAGAGGCATTTAAGATATCTAGCTCAAGGAATTCTACAGGTCAGCTGTGTCTTGTGCACATACTTCAAAACAAGTCATAAACACATTTCTCATTATCATTATACCTTAATACAGGGCTATGGAGGGCAGGGGGAATAACAAAAAACTAAAGGAGCACAGAGTATCAGCAAAAATTACAGGCTTCATGTTCCCAGCTCAGTTTGTTATAACATCCTCCTCTGCAACAAGAGCATCATTTAATCTTCAGGAAAGGAGGAACTGCTCCAGTCCATTTATCTATGGCTCAATAATTCAGCAGATGTATTCCAAACAAGTTGTTTTAATAATTGCCAGGAGAAGAAATATTTGCACCAGGTTTATTAATGCTGAGATTGTAGCATATAAAGATTATGGAACAACCTATTCTGAGGGTCACAGATCTATGTAATCTTTAACTCAAACAGTAAACTAACATTTTACATATATTCTTCATAGATATTACTAATAATTCTCCAAGTTTAAGCAGGAAAAAATAAATTGGTTCAAAGTCAAATTTCCAGTTCAGTCTTTTCATTTAATGAGAAGAGTGTGGGACTGTATATAATAGCCAACATAGCTACACTTTCAGGAAATTCTCTGAAACTGGTTGTTAAACTTTTCCTTTTTTCATCTTTGCTGTAAATACCTCAGCGTGTTTAGGGTGACAGTCAAGTTACCGTGTTTTAAAATCCCAGCTAGAGTTTGAAAGAACTCCATTAAGTGTTTGAAACATCATAGTTTCAGGATAAAATTATGAATTCCAAACCACTAGCAGTTTCCAAAACTGAACGTGAACAAAGCTTCTCATATGAGAAAGGAGCATTTGGTGTTTTCCAGCATCTGCTAGAAATGGGTAGTGACCAGCAAGGTCATCAGACCCCATTCTCTTGGTGGGTCCACCTGAGCTCTGCAGAGAGAAGTCAAACCAGCTCAAACTATGTTTTGAAATCTGAGTTCTTATCCAAACTACCCTCAGATTTTTGCCCCTGTCGCTTCACCCAGTGGTGTAACCTAAAGCAGCCCTGAACCAACACACAGTGCCAGTGGGGCAGTGCTGCCCTGGCACGGGGCAGGTTTCCTCCCAACCCTGGTCTGGGGCAGTGCATCTCTCCTGCCTCCCCTTTGCCCCAGCAGCCTGCTGAGTGCATCCTCACCAACAGCAACACTGCCATCGTGGCTTTTTTTGATTTGAATTTCAGCCTCTGACAGCAGGTTTATTATTATTATTATTAAGAAAGCCCTGCAAGTTTGTCTGTTTTTCTCCAGCCACGATTCTGGCTTCGGCTGGAAGAGCTGAGCTGAACTGCCTTGCTGTAGGAAATGGCTGCAAGCTAAAATCATCATTTCACTACCACCACTCACCTGAAAATAGAAACTCAGTCACCCCTTCCATTAACCTCATCCTCTGCAAAGGCCCAATGGCAACATGAATTCAGTTTTCATCCTGCTTCTTAGAAAGCAGGCCTGGGATACTCCTGGCAGCTAGATTCTGAGAGAAATTTTTATGTCTGCAAATTAGCTGTTCCTTGCTTTTATAATACATGCATACTACCTGTTTACACAACCACAAAAGTATATATTTATGACATGTCATCAGAAGCCTCTGTTTGCTGGTTATCATCTAATTCCCGTATGTATCCTCTCCTCTGTTGCATTAACCCTTGCAGTAATTGTAGCTGTGAGAGCCTGTGTACACCTTGCAAACCTCAGTCCCCTCTCTGCAGACGTTCCGTGCAGCTGGGCACTCAAGGCTGTGTGAGGAGCTTACCTGTTTGGAGCTGTTCCCATTCACAACTGCTCTTCTCCAGCTCTTTGCCAGGAGCTACAGAGTTCGTACTTCACGAAGTGCATCGTTTTTTGGAGAACGTGGTTTGTGAAGAATAAGGAAAATCAACTCCACATGCTTAAATCATGCTTTTTCACTGCCCTTTGATTGACTAATTTCATCAGGTAATGCCTAGAAACTAATTTGCAGGTGCTCTTTTACTCCATCACACCATGTGTCTGTGCACTGGGTGCTAACATATAGTCTGTGTCGGTGAATGGTTGATGAGTATGTGTATTTGTAACTCCTTTGGGGATAAAGCTAAAGCCTTAGGCAGGAGAAAATAACCAAATTGTACCTGTTTATCCCATAAACCAGAATACAGAATGCAAAAGCCCATTCACTGGTATAGGTGTTTATATATATATATTTATATATATAGATTTATATAAGCATATGCACATATATATAAATGCATATATGTGTGTATTTTGTGTAGTATGTGTGTATACGTAACCACACAGCAGTGTGTCTGTACTGCACACTGAGTAATGAAGGGATATCCACAGAGCAGACCCAGGGATCCAGCAATGAGCCTGAACCAGTCTCTGCATCCAAACACGTGTCATTGCATTTGGAAAGGCTGAACCTGCTGGAGGTTCGTGGCTGGGTTTCATCTCTGGTTACAGCTGCAGTGCTCGTGTCTGTTGTGCATTCTGGGGGCCGTGTGTGTGAGCACATGTGCTTTTCACAAGCACGTGCCTGGCTGGGGGGCAGGGATGGTGTGCCAGGAGTGTGCCCATGTTCATACCTGTTCTGCCAACTCTGGGGACCTGCAGGGCTGCTGCTGTCATCCTCA